GTGGCTGGGTGCACAAGCTTATGATTAAGATCCTAAAATTCTGCTTCTATGATTTTGAGCGTTACATACGTTTTTTTTTTCCACGTTTCCTACGTTTTGAGATCTTCCCTTTTTATTCTTATTTACGTTCTTTCCTTTGCTGTTTATAAACGGTTGTAGAGTTTGACAGCAGTTGGTCGTCCATATTTGTTTTTACTGGTAAGATGTTAGGGAGTGACATTTTAGTTAATACATAGGTCTAATAGGAGTATATTAGTATATTACCGTGTATATATATATGTATGTGTATATATATATGTGTGTGTGTTTGTGTGTGTGTGTGTGTATTACACTCAATTTGTACTTTGTATGTTATACAACTTAAAATAGTTATATAAAAATTAATTTTATACTAAAACATAACTTCTATTATCGGACCATTTTTATCTGACTAAAAATGTCACAAATGTTAATTTTCTGTCTGGTTCACTTGTTTCATAAAATGTTGTTCCTATTACTGAAATATTTTTATCTGACTAAGACGTCATAAATTTTGAAATTTTTATCTGATTAGAATGTTACAACTGTTGAATTTTTGTCTGACTCAATTAATAATTAAAATGTCATTTCCGTAATATTTTATGATTTATCTGGCTAAAAAAAAATTATTTTTATTTTTATTTAATTTTTTGGAGTGTCACATTCTACCCTCCTTAAAAGATGTTTCGTCCCGAAACATTAACTATATCTAAATAATCAAATTCTTAAGTATTACATTCTACCCCTCTTAAAGAGAGGTTACGTCCTCGTAACTAAAATTTTACCTTAGTCAAATAACTCTGGATAACGTTTGCGCATATCCTCCTCTGTCTCCCATGTGGCATTTTTGGCCAAATGGTTAGACCACAACACCTTCACCATCTTAACCGCTTTTCTTCTAGTCTCACGAGTCTTAGTATCCAAAATCTGGATCGGCCTCTCCTCGTAAGTCAACGATTCATCCAACTCGACCACCTAAAAAGTCGAGGTTAGATGTGATACTTGGATCTAATTATCATAAGGTTACGATTCGTACCTCGGGGCTAAGAATATGGGATTCGTCGCGGACATACTTCTTCAATTGGGAGATATGGAAAATATTGTGTACCTACGCATAACATACTTTAGGATTTGAGAGATATTTACTAAGCTATTCACTTAACGAGCGGTTATAGTATGTTATACCTTAGCCAACTCGGTGGGTAGAGCTAGCCGATATGCCACTCTTCCCACTCGCTCGAGGATGTCATATGGGCCAATGAACCTCGGGCTTAGCTTCCCCTTCTTTCCAAATCTCATTACTCCCTTGGTCGGGGAGACTCTGAGTAGGACTTTCTCTCCCGCTTCGAATTCGGCTGGCTTCCTTCCCAAGTCTGCATAAGACTTCTGACGATCTTGTGCAACTTTCATCCTTGCTTGAATCATCTTCACTTTCTCTGTGGTGTCTTGGGGGTAATCCGGCCCTAACACCACTTGATCTTCCATGTCACCCCAGGATAGTGTGTAATACTTTAGAATTTTGTGATTTGACTTTAGTTTATGTTTCGGGACGAAACATCTTTTAAGGAGGGTAGAATGTGACACTTCAAAAATTTAAATAAAAACAAAAATAATTTTTTTAATCAGATAAAATATTACGAAAATGACAATTTAATTATTAAGTGAGTCAAACAAAAATTCAACAGATGTTGCATTCTAATCAGATAAAATTTCAAAATTTACGACGTTTTAGTTAGATAAAAATGATCCGATAATAAAAATATTTTATATCAAGTACCAGTTATACATATGGCATAAGAAGTAAAAGCTATATTTTAATAAAATACAAACTTAAAACCTACGGCTGAAATATCTAAAGTATTCCTACATATATTAAACAACATATGCGGCTCTATAGTAACAAAGTATTCGGATACGTAGTCGGTAATAAAACTTCGTATATAAAAACAAAGCTTAGCACGTAGTATACAAATAAGAACTCTCCTAGTTGGTTACATCCGTAGGTACTTACTGTTAGTCTCAAACTCAAACTCTCAATCGTATATATGGCGGAGGGCTATACGCTGAAGGATGAATAATAGCATACTCCGTAGTATTTTTCCTTTGAATCTATGTTCACGACTCAATTATACGGAGTAGTACATATACATACATACGACCAAATGGTTCAACAGATCAAAAGGATAGAAATCATAACCAAGAATGTAGATAATCACGGTGAGTGAGAGAGGAGTGAAGTGGGTCAAGGTCACGGGCGTCGGAAACCACCGTACTAAGCAGTCAAGGTGCCGAACCAGTCACCGGAAAAGGAGCCGGACTGCCGGAGATCATTGTCACTTTCATCGTTGAGGACGGGTCATAGGAGGTGGGAGCGGGAACTGTCGTCGTCTCCGGGAGCGTGGGAAACTGCCTCTTGACGCCACTGGACGTCGGAGAAAAAAAAATCAAGTTGTTGTGCCGGACAGTCGGCAGGATTTCACGACGGAGAAGGTGAAGCCATTGTCGTTCAGACCGCTGCCGTCGATCTCAGGGGGAAGACGCTACTGTGTCCGAGTGAAGCCACTGCAAGAGTCGCCATGAGTCGCCACCGGCCCACACCCTGCTCCTGCACACGTTGGCCGAACATGAGCTGCATCGCCGGATCTCGAGTAGTGAAGCTGCAGGTCATCACCGTTGCCTCCCGGCTCTGGATAGTTTACCGCTGCCGCCGTCAGGAAGAACACCGGAGGATCTCGCCGCTGCACAGGTTCCTTGGTTGCGCCGGAGAAGACGACGAACTCATAGTACGTATAACTTACTCTGTAGTACTCCGTATGTTAATAACTTCTGGGTTGGGGTTTGTCTTGGGCCTGATTTTTTGGGCCAGAAGAATTAAACTTGGGCCAGTTCGGCCCAGTTGCAATAAAAATTAAAAATAAAATAGTAAATGAAATAAATAAAATCTGGAAAAAATATAAATTAAATACCTAGTATAAATATACATATTCGGACCAACCAGAATTGGAAAATAATATTTTTAGCTATTTTTAATGGATTTAATGGTAATTGGGCCAATTTATACACATGTAGTAAATAATTAACTAAATAACGAAAATAATTATGAAATAAATATTGGAGTAAACTAAGATAAATATATGACTAACTAGGACCTTAAGGACCATTTATAATTAATAAAAATAAGGTTTAGTATATTTAATTGTAATTGAGCCGGTTTATAGATATATGAAATTAAAGGAATAATTATGGAAAATAATTATAAAATAGATATCTGGACAACCTAGGTCAAATATAGACCCAAAATATAATTATAGACGGTTACTAATTTATAAAGTCGATTCTTAGTCTATTTATTTAAATTAGGCCATATAAAACTAGTTAAGTAATTAAATAAGGAAATATTAGTATTAATGGTGAAATAAATAAATCATTGAGATTGAAAAATAATATTCTGGACTAAAAATGATGTTGGAATAAAATAAGGAAAATAAAATAAGGTTGGGTTAGTTAGCATAAATAATTGACTATATGTAGACTTAATAAATAACTTAGTTATGTAATTAGTGGACTAATTCAATTAATAATTTTTATGATTAAGTATTAGATATTCGGACTTCATATAAATATTTAAAATATTTTGAACTCATAAATTGATGGGTTAATATAAATAAAGTAATTAGATAATAATTTATGAGTAGAGTAAATTAATGGTGATTATTGAATAAAAATTAGATGTTGTAGTTAATTATATTCGAATATTTTATTTAATATTAGAATTCAAATATTGTAATTAATGGCTGAATTAATAAGGTAATTTGAGTAATAAAAAGTGATTAACCAAAGTTAATGCGAATAATAAAATAAAAGGAGAAAATCGGGTAAAGTAATTACAAATAGAATAAGTGACTAATTTATCATATTTAATTAAAAAGGTGATTATCTAGAGACCGGATTAGAGGAGGATAACTAGGAGCAACAAGACTTAAGGTAAGTTTCTCTGCCAATCCAAAATTGTTTCCTCGTATTATATGCTTATTATGCATTATGTGATTAAGTGTGAATTGTGAATTTTGTATGTGATTTTGAGAAGATATTATATATATGGTAGTTAAGAAGTATAAATCAAGTACTTTTGGGGTATTAAATATTTTTAAATACCTTCGAGACTTTTCAGAGAAATTAAGAAGTATTTTTGAAGTATTATTAAGCGAAGATAAAATTTACATTTTCATAAGAAGATAGCATCTCGGGAGTAATCCGAGGTGTCGGTTTTTCCACATCCGGATAAATGTGGAGGGTGATTAGAGCTACTACTACTAAGAAGTACAGTTTGGATCTATGATCCCTTTTAAGCAAGATTTGGATCTATGATCCCTTTTAAGTAAGGTTTGGATCTATGATCCCTTTTAAGAAGAAGTTATAGTAGTAGTCCCTAATCATTCAAGAATTTTAGAATTGGGGTGGTTGGGTTCCGACCACTCGGGATGACTTACTACTCGGAGGGCTTGGAATCCCTTTTAGGGGGTGTGCACACTTAAGGTAGTCGTTTCGTTTCCAACAGAGCAGTTGTGGTACCGGCACTTGTTCGGGGTGGCCGTCCGTAACCACGGTCCACCGGGCTCAGTCGAAAGGTTGAGCACCGCCCTTCTAAATTACTAGGAAGTTAGAGAAGAAGTGATTTTCTTAAGAAGTTTAAAGAGAAGAGATACTAAGAGATTTTCCAAGAGAAGTTTAAGATTTTAGCAAAGAAGTGATTTTAAGAAAAATCAAGGAGAAAAGTATTTTGGAAGAGTGCGTCATTTTTATATGATATTATATAAAAATCTATTTTTAGTCAAACCTGATTATTTTACGGGGTTGGGTAGTACTTACTTAGCTCTAAAGCTAATTTTTGTTATTTTTCTTGTCTCTCTCTTCTCCCTTAAATTTTATCAGGTGATGAGTTGGATACCTATGTGGATTGACGGATTGCTCGAGCTTGAGTGCGAATTAGAAGATGCCTTAGTTAAATCTAGTCATAAAACAAACATTTACTTATTATTACATTAGTTTTTATTGTTTTACTTTGAGTTGCCTGTGCATTCGGTTAAGAGATGACCGAATGTGGCGGTAACACTCATTTCCCTATTAGACTTCCGTTGTATTTCTTCAACTCTTTGATGAATGAATAAAGTATTTCTTTTAAATATATCAATGTTTTGGGCGGGAAATTTAGGGGTGTTACATAGTGGGCTTCTACACTTTTGACCATATAGAGCTTCGTACGGGGCCATTTTGATACTGACGTGGTAGCTATTGTTGTATGAAAACTCTATTAAGTCTAAGTGTTCGTCCCACGATCCTTGTAGGTCTAACATACATGCTCTCAGCATGTCCTCGAGTGTTTGGATGGTTCGTTCCGTTTGTCCATCGGTCATCGGGTGAAAGGCAGTACTCAGCTTCAGCTTCGTCCCCATGGCGGCTTGCAATTCCTTCCAGAATTGAGATAGAAATCTAGAATCACGGTCAGAAACGATGTCTTGTGGAACTCCATGGTACTTAACCACGTGTTTGATGTAAGCTCGGGCTAATTTCTCCATGCTCCAAGTTTCGTTCATTGGGATAAAGCGAGCGGTCTTTGTTAACCGATCAACTATGACCCAAACCTTGTCTTTGCCAGACTTGGTTAGGGGTAAGCCCCCAACAAAGTCCATGGAGATGGAATCCCACTTCCACTTTGGTACTTCCAAGGATTGTACGAGTCCCTTGGGCTTGCAACGTTCGGCTTTCACCTTCTGACAGTTTAAGCATCGGGCCACGAACTCGGCTACCTCTTTCTTCATCTTTGGCCACCAAAAATTCTTTTTGATGTCTTTGTAGAGTTTATCGCCCCCAGGGTGTACCGAGTAAGGCGTGTTGTGCCCTTCCTCCAGAATTTTCCTTTTAAGTTCTTCACATTTCATCGGGATACACCACCTTCCTTTGTGTCGAATGCTCCCGTCTTCGTGCAGTTTGAACGGACCGTTCACGCCATTTGTCATACCTGCTCGGATTCGATCTAGCTTTATGTCTCCAGGCTACCCTTCACGAATTTCGTCGAAGATAGATGGGGTAACGGTCATGGTGAGTAACCGTGTTTCCCGCTCTACCTCTCCGAAATCCCGAACTTCCAAGTCTAGTTTTTGAAAGTCCCGGTAAAGTTCATCAGGTAGTACCCATTCTGCTTTGAAGGAGTGGGTTGATTTCCGGCTCAGCGCATCGACAACTACGTTTGCTTTGCCTTCATGGTATTGGATCTCCAAGTCATAGTCTTTGACGAGTTCTAGCCAACGTCTCTGTCTCATGTTAAGCTCCTTTTGGGTGAAGATGTACTTCAAGCTCTTGTGATCGGTGTAAACTTTACAGTGTACCCCATAGAGATAGTGCCTCCACAGCTTTAGAGCAAAGATAACCGCTGCCAGTTCTAAGTCATGAGTCGGATAGTTGACCTCATGTGTCTTTAGTTGCCTTGATGCATATGCCACCACTTTGCCGTTTTGCATCAATACGCAACCCAACCCCTTTAAACAAGCATCGGTGTTAATCTCGAACCCTTCAGTACCGGTGTAAATCTTGAGAGTTTGGCATATAGCTGATTCTCTCTCAAAGTTTGCAGTGCTATCCTCAGATGTTCTTCATGCTCGGTTGGAGTCTTGGAGTACACCAGGATGTCGTCAATGAACACCACAATGAAGAGATCGAGGTAGGGTCGGAACACACGGTTCATGAGATCCATAAATACCGCAGGTGCATTTGTGAGGCCAAACGGCATTACGGTGAACTCATAGTGTCCGTACCTCGTTCGAAAGGCCGTCTTCGGGACATCTTTCTCAGAAATCCTCACTTGATGGTACCCGGATCTCAAATCAACTTTGGAAAACGTGCTAGCTCCCCTCAGTTGATCAAAGAGGTCATCAATGCGAGGCAGCATGTATTTGTTCTTGATGGTTGCTTTGTTCAGCTCTCTATAGTCAATGCAGAGTCTCAGACTCCCATCCTTCTTCTTCACAAACAAGACCGGAGCACCCCAAGGTGAGATACTCGGTTTGATGTAGCCTTTCTCCAATAATTCTTCGAGTTGTTCCTTCAGTTCTTGCATTTCCTTCGGTGCCATTCGGTATGGTGCCTTTGAGATGGGTGCGGTGCCCGCCAGAAGGTCGATTGAAAACTCGACTTCCCTCTCCGGTGGCATCCCCGGAATCTCTTCTGGAAATACATCCGGAAACTCATTGACCACCGGGATTTTATCAATGGTCGGATCCTCGGAGGTCAAGTCTTTGATCCTGCACAAGTAAACTTCATACCCCTTTCGGACATATCGTTTGACTTGTTGCATGGTTGCTAGCTTCACTCCCGGTTTAGATGTAACTGCTTTGTAGGATACACGTTTTTTATTGGGTCCTCTCAAGACCACTTTCTGCTCGTCGCATAGGATTTTGGCTTTATATTTCCCTATCCAGTCCATACCCAACACCACGTCGATATCCTCCAGGTCAAATTGGATTAGATCTCCGGGTAGTTCGGTATCGGATATGACTATGGGAACGTTAGAGAAAACACTCCCACATGCCACCACTTGGTTGGAGGCCGTTTTTACGTTAAGACTAAGCTTAGTGGTAGGTTTTAGCTTCGTCCTTTCCACGAATTTTGATGCTATGAAGATGTGGGATGCACCTGAATCAAACAGCACATAAGCAGGTTTGGAGTTTACAAGAAAGGTACCTGACACCACATCGTGTGCATTTGCTTGAGCCTGGTTCATGACGTAGATGCGGCCTTGAGTGTTGTTTTGCCCTCCCGGGCCTTGGTTTCGGTTAGCCTCCGCTGGGCGATTACCGGGATTACCACGGTTGGTGTTAGCGTGATTAATCCCGCCCCCAGTTTGGTTGTTCCCTTGGTTTTGACCCTGGCTCGGAGGTTTCCGGCACTCATATGCCCGATGTCCCATGAGATTACAGTTGTAACATCTCACCGCATTTCCCGCACAATCCTTCCCGGGATGGTTGTTTGGGCACAGTTTGCATTTGTAGTGCCGTACATGAGCGGGCTGATTCCTTCCCTGACCCTGGCCTTGGAAGGTTCTACCATTTTGGTTGTTTTGTCTTGGCTCTGGGCGGTCAGTTCGGGCCTTCTTTTGCTGCTGTTCTACCTCGGCAATCTTCCGGTCTCTCTTCTGCGCCTCCCTCTCCTTCTGATGTACCATGTAGTACTTCCCAGCTTTCCGGTACGCCTCATTCATGTTCCGCGGCTCTGTCACGGTTACGAACTTTTGGGCGCCAAAGTTCAGCCCAGTCACAAACCTTCGGGTCATGCTGGCCTCAGTGGATATCAGCTCTTTGGTGAAGCGGGCCAGTTGGACAAACTTCGTGTGGTACTCTTGGACAGTTAAATCTCCTTGCTTGAAGTTGACAAACTCATCATAGTTTGCCTCTTTCACATGGTCCGGATAGAAACGGTCGCGTAGGGCTATCTTGAAGTCTTCCCAACAAAATCTCGGTTGCTCGAGCAGGGTTGATCCGGTGGCAGCCCACCAATGATCCGCCTCTTGGTGCAAGTAGTACACCGCTATGTTTACCCGCTGCTCCAACGGGCAGTTGAGCGAATCAAAGAGCTTGTCGAAGGTTCAGATCCAGTCTTCTAAAATCAGATGATCCTCCTCCCCCAGGTATTTTGGGGGGTTCCTTCCGGCCACGCGCGTCGCATAGTCAACCCCTTGGTTATGGGTTTGAGCTGCTCCAATGTGTTGCGCCATCTGCTGAATAGTTTGAGCCAACTCCTCAACAGTTGGGGTTGCATGGGGGTTTCTTCTTGGCGGCATGTTTCTTAATAAAGACAAGCCCGTACTAAGTATTAATGCATACATAAGGATTCTATACAAATTCTCTACTAACTTCAGATTCTTAGAACAAATAGTACACATAGTGTATCACATATTCCACATACTTCACAGAGGCATGAATCCCATGCATTTCATAACTCAATAATTTCGCAAGGTTTCTCCCTCTCACCGCGTTCCTAAAAGGCCCCTTTCCTAGTATATTCATTCTCCTAATTTCAGGAAAACATATTTGAAAATCCCGCATCAAACCCGTAGTTTTCGTCAAAGATTTCGAACAACGAAGTTTCAGCACAAGGAGAAATTCCCAGTTAGTTGGACGAGCGCGGAGGCTCAATTATGCACCAACCAGCTTAGACTGTTATCGTCTTTGTGACAGAATTTCTCCCTACGACCTATTACCTCGTGTTCTAGTCCTTTCGGGAAAACCAAAGGGTCTCTGATACCAATTTGTAACACCCCCAATTTGTAACACCCCCAAATTTCCCACCCAAAACGTTGATATAATTGAAATAAAACTTTTATTTATTGATAATGAAAATTTAAAGAAAGTACAGCGGAAGTCTTAATAAGGGAAATGGGTGTTACCGCCACATCCGGTCATCTCTCAACCGGATGCACAGACAACTAAAACATAACAACTAATTTAATAAAATAAAGTGTTTGTAAAGTAAATGTTTATTTCATGACTAGTATAACTAAGGCGACTTCTAATTCGCTCTCGGGCCATGCAAGCGATCATCAATCAACAAAATCATCCTCACCTGCACAAATAAAGTGCAGAAACAAAACAAGGAAAAGAAAACAAAAATTATCTTTAGAGCTAAGTAAGTACTACCCAACCCCGTAAAATAATCATGTTTGACTAAAATAGATCTTTATATAATAATATATAAAAATACTCACACCATCGAAATTCTTTTCACTTTGATTTTTCTCAAAACTACTTCTTTACAAAACTCCTCAACTTCTCTTTAAAACTTCATAATAACTCTTCCCTTTGATTTCCTCAAAAATCACTTCTTCTCTAACTTCCTAGTAATTTAGAAGGGCGGTGCTCAACCTTTCGGTAGAGCCCGATGGACCGTGGTTACGGACGGCCACCCCGAACAAGTGCGGGTACCACAACTGCTCTATTGGAAACGAAACGACTACCTTAAGTGTGCACACCCCTAAAAGGGATTCCAAGCCCTCCGAGTAGTAAGTCATAACGAGTAGTCGGGACTCAGTCTACCAACTACCCCTGAATAAGATATCTTGAATGATTAGGGACTACTACTACCATAACTTCTTCTTAAAAGGGATCATCGATCCAAATATCACTTTAAACTCAAACTGTACTTCTTAGTAGTAGCAAACCTAGTCACCCTCCACATTTATCCGGACGTGGAAAACCGACACCACGGATTTCTCCCGTGATGCTCACCTCTTATGAAATCATTCTTTTATCTTGAATTAATATACTTCAAAATATTTCTCAACTTCTCAAACTGCTTTAAATATATTTAGATAAAATATTTACCCCCAAAAGCACTTAGTTTCACGAATCATCTCAGAATCACATGCATAAAAGTCATACTTCACACTTAAAATCACGTATCACATAATACATATATAATACGAGGAAACGATTTTTGGATTGGCAGAGAAACTTACCTCTAGTCCGGGTGATCCTAATTCTCTTCTTCTACTCCGGTCTCTAAATAATCACCTTTTTAATTAAGATGATATAATTAGTCACTTACTCTTAAATAATTATTTTACTCGATTTTCACCTTTTACTTCATTCTTCGAATTCACTAATTCAATTATTTTATTATCCGCGTTAATCACTTTTTATTAATTGAATTACCTTATTAATTCAGTCGTTAATTATAATAATTGAATTCTAAAATATACGAATATAAATAATTACAATATCAAATTTTTAATTTAATAATCACCTTTTTATTTACTCAACTCCTAAAGCATTTGGTATGTCCGAATTATTTTTAATTTTAACTAATCAAATATCGAAACTACATTAATTTATATTAAGTAACATTATTAGCATTAATAAATCCGAATTAACTAATTGTTTTATAACATATTCTTATTTTATTAATTACTCAAACACTTAATATTTCAAAGTCCGTAATTTTGTAAATTTTATATTACTCTACCTCAATTAGTCCAATAATTAGTGAAAACAATATCTACCAATTTGTTTAATCTAATTATGATACCAAGTCCAAATAATTATTTAAATATAATATTCTTTAATGAGTATTAAACTATAAATTCTTTTCATCATAAAAAAAATTTCATTATTTAATTACTTAATTAGTTTTATATGGTCCAATTTAATAAAATAGCCAAGAGTCGACTTTATAAATTAATAACCGTCCATAACTATATTTTGGTTCTACATTTGGCTTAGGTTGTCCAAATATTTATTTTATAATTCATTTTCCTTAATTATTCATTTATTTTCGTATATCAAATAACCGGTCCATTTACAATTAAATATACTAATATTAATTTTTATTAATTATAAATGGTCCATAATGTCTTAGTTAGTCTTATATTTATCATAGTTTACTCCAATATTTATTTCATAATTAATTTTGCCATTTACTTATTTATTTACTATTTGTGTACAAATTGGCCCAATTACCATTAAATCAATTAAAAATAGCTAAAAATATTATTTTTCAATTCTGGTTGGTCCGAATATGTATAATCACACCAGATATTTAATTTATATTTTTCCAGATTTTATTTATTTCATTTACTATTTTATTTTTAATTTTTATTGCAACTGGGCCGAACTGGCCCAAATAATAAAAAAACCAGTTTTCAGCCGGCCCAAAAGACTGACCCCAGCAAGGCTGGGTCGTCTTCTTCCTCAGGTCGCCGGAAAACAGCCAGGAAGGGGGGGAGGGACCTACCTCGATGAACGCGGCCAACGACGGTGGCGGTGCACTCCTTCTGGGACGGCGAAGGTCGGTGATGGGTTGGCGGCAGCGGAAGCTCCTCCCTCTTCTCTGTTTCCCGTCGTGAAAGTTTGCCCGGCGAAACTCCGGTGAAACTTTTCTCCCTCGTTTCACGACCGTTTTCAACGATTCTTTCTCCGTTGGATTCCTCTCACGAAGGGGGAGGTCTGGGAAGTGTTTTCAGGGCTCGGTTTTGAGTGTGTCTCTGGGTTGGAAATTACGGGTATATATATATATATATATGTGTGTGTGTGTGTGTGTGTGTGTGTGTGTATTCCGACGAAATTTTGGGATGAAAGGCCAGGCAGTTGAGTCCGCTATTTATAGAGGTGGCTGGGTGCACAAGCTTATGATTTAGATCCTAAAATTCTGCTTCTATGATTTTGAGCGTTACATACGTTTTTTTTTTCACGTTTCCTACGTTTTGAGATCTTCCCTTTTTATTCTTATTTACGTTCTTTCCTTTGCTGTTTATAAACGGTTGTAGAGTTTGATAGCAGTTGGTCGTCCATATTTGTTTTTACTGGTAAGATGTTAGGGAGTGACAGTTTAGTTAATACGTAGGTCTAGTTTATTTATCTAATAGGAGTGTATTAGTATATTACCGTGTATATATATATGTGTATTACACTCAATTTGTACTTTGTATGTTATACAACTTAAAATAGTTATATAAAAATTAATTTTATACTAAAACATAACTTCTATTATCGGACCATTTTTATCTGACTAAAAATGTCACAAATGTTAATTTTCTGTCTGGTTCACTTGTTTCATAAAATGTTGTTCCTATTACTGAAATATTTTTATCTGACTAAGATGTCATAAATTTTGAAATTTTTATCTGATTAGAATGTTACAACTGATGAATTTTTGTCTGACTCAATTAATAATTAAAATGTCATTTCCGTAATATTTTATGATTTATCTGGCTAAAAAAAATTTATTTTTATTTTTATTTAAATTTTTGGAGTACCACATCGATGCCTTCCGAGGGTATCACCAAATTTTCATGCACGAGGAAGACGCCGAAAAAACAGCCTTCATGACTCCCGAGGGCATATTCCGCTACCTTGTGATGGCCTTCAACCTAAAGAACTCAGGCGCCACTTACACCCGGATGGTGGCCAGAGTCTTTCAGGCCATCTTAGGGCGCACCATGGAGGCCTACGTTGATGACATGATTGTCAAAAGCAAACGGTCATCAAGCCATGCTGACAACCTCCGGGAGATCTTCGCCATCATGCAAAAGTTCAACCTTCGGCTAAACCCGAAGAAATGCACCTTCGGCGTACAAGGAGGCAAATTCTTAGGCTACATGGTGAGCCGAAGGGGTATCGAGGCCAACCCCGAGAAAATCAGGGCCATCATCAACATGGAGCCCCCACGCAACGTGAAGGAGGTCCAACGGTTGACGGGCCGCCTGGCAGCCCTCAACCGCTTCCTATCCAAATCGGCGGAGAAGTCCTTACCCTTCTTTCAGATCATGAGGAAGACCGCCGGCTTCCAATGGACTTCAGAATGCCAGGAGGCCTTCAACGAACTAAAACAATATTTATCTTCACCCCCTGTGCTCTCCAAACCCAAGGTAGGGGAAACCCTGTACCTTTACCTTGCTGTTAGCCCGACAGCCATCAGCTCAGTACTCATCCAGGAAGAAGATGACGTCCAACATGCCATCTTCTATGTTAGCAAGACCCTCAGGGAAGCAGAACTCCGGTATTCCCCTGTGGAGAAAACAGTGTTGGCTATTGTTTGGACTGTGAAGAAGCTCGGCCACTACTTTCAGGGCCATTTGGTCCAGGTCCTCACGCATCAACCCCTCGGCGCCTTGATGAGGAGTCCCACCAGCTCCTCCCGCATGGTAAAATGGGCTATCTTCCTCAGCCAATACAACATCGACATCCGTCCGAGGCCTGCCATAAAGGGCCAAGCCCTGACAGACTTCATGACGGAGTGCACGGCCAGATCAGCGGGGGATGAGGAGCCCTCGGCACCTTCGGACGAAGGGTGGACCCTTTATACTGATGGCTCCTCAGCCACCAAAGCATGCGGAGGAGGAGTAGTTCTCATCACTCCCGAAGTCTTCTGGGCCTACTATGCCATCCGTTTCTCCTTCAAAGTCTCCAACAACGAAGCAGAATATGAGGCCCTCCTCTGTGGCCTTCGGTTGGCAGCAAATATGAAGGCCGGAATGATCCACGTCAAGTGTGACTCCAAGCTTGTCGTGGGTCAAATCTCCGGGGAGTATGAGGCCAAGGAAGGGAGGATGAAACAGTACAAGGAGACGGCTAAAGAATTGCTCAAGGTATTTGAGGCACACTCTCTCACCCAAATACCGAGGGCTCGAAATTCTGAGGCCAATATTCTATCAAAACTCTCGGATGAATCTCCCTAGCACGTCTCCAAAATTGCAAGGATAGAAGAACTCAGCCTCTCAAGCATACACGCCAACCCCGTCATGCAAATTCAACAAAGGCAAGAGGACTGGATCTCAAACATCATCGCCTTCATCACCACCGGGCAACTGCCGGATGATGAGTCCCACGCCAAGTTAACGAAGCTGAGGGCACCCAGTTACGCCATCGAAGGCGGAAGGCTCTACAAACGATCTTACAACGGCACTCTGCTTCGATGCCTTCACCAAGATGAAGCCGAAGTGGCAATGGAGGAAGTGCACAGTGACACTTGTTCGGCTCATCAGGGACCCTTCTCCATGTCCCGAAGGCTCATAATCCAGGGCTACTTCTGACCCACGATGGCCCGAGATTGTGCGGATCTCGCCCGAAGGTGTACCGCATGTCAACACTTCCAGAAAGCCCTCGGCAGGCCAGCGGTCAACTATGCCCCCATCAGCACATCTATACCCTTCGCTAGATGGGGCATAGACCTTTTGGGCCCTCTGCCGAGGGGTACCTCCAACAACAGGTACATCATCGTTGTCATTGACTACTTCACCAAGTGGGTGGAGGTTGAGCCCCTCGCTAGCATTACTGAGGCCAGGTGCCGCCACTTTGTCCTAAAGAACATTCTCACAAGGTTTGGTGTCCCCAACAAATCATCTCCGACAATGGGACCGAATTTGAGGCAGCCCCCTTCTGTGCCCTCCTAGAGGCATGGGGGGGGGGGGGGGGGGGGGGGCATCAAACACACCTTCTCCTCCGTTGCTTACCCCCAAGGCAACGGTCAAGTGGAGAATGCCAACCGGACATTACTTGAGGGCCTAAAAAAGAAGCTGGAGGCCGAAGGGGGAGGCTGGGTAGAAGAACTCCACAATATCCTATTAGCTTACCGCACCACCCCTCAGCGGGCAACAGGTGAAACACCCTTCTCCCTGTGCTATGGATTTGAAGCTAAAGCTCCCACTGAAGTGACCCTTCCTACCCGAAGGGTAGCCCAATATGATCCCGAAGTCAATGACGCCAACATGGCCATCGACCTTCACCTCATCTCAGAATGCCGAGAGCAAGCCTTCATACGAGCGGAAAACTACCGAAGGCAAATCAAAAGCTACATCGATGCCAAAGTCCGCTCTCGAGAATTCCAAGTGGGGGATTATGTCCTACGACGAAGGGAAGCAAGCCACCCAACCGAGGGCAGTAAAATGGCACCCAAATTTGAGGGCCCATACATCGTTGAAGCCATCATCAAAAGAGGAACTTACAAGCTCAAACGCCCCAATGGGACCGAGGTCCCCCAACATCGGAATGTACACCATCTAGTAAAATTTTATTAGTAATGTTGGAGCGACCAAGCCCTCATAACTAATGAATGTATTATTTTACGGCCCAAGGCCCTCAAATTTGAAGACATATTAAAGACACCAAGAACAAGAAACAAGACACATATGAGCGGCCAAGCCCTCATTCAGATTCCTGGCCCAAGGCCTTATTGCAAGACCCCTCGGCACCAAGTTCCGAGGGTTGACACTCCTAACACCTACGACAAAGGAAGGAAAACACCAAGTGTTTTTAAGAAGACCCCTCGGTACCCAGTGCCGGGGGTACGCACTACTATCAACTTTCAGCAGCGGAAGAAAACACCCAGTGTTTCCTTTGTAGACCCTTCGAGGCTACACAACCCTATCAACTCTAGAAGAAGGACACCCAGTGTTTTTGAAGACCCCTCGGTACCAAGTACCAGGGGGCACATTCTGAAACAAACACCAAGTGTTGTTTCTAAAGCCGTACCGCTCGAGGACGCATTATACCGAAGGCGCCACCTATCGGTGCCGGCAGCACGTAGTGCCCTCGGCCATTTGCAACCAGTGTGCAAATGAAAACTCTTCCTTGAAACGCTTTCCGCGCCATTACCCCAAGGGTATGGCAGGCAGCTAATATGCCCAGGATTCGACTTTCAAAAACGAAATGCTTTCCGCGCCACTACCCCAAGGGTATGGCAGACAACTAATATGCCCAGGATTCGACTTTCAAAAACGAAACTCTTCCCGTGCCATTACCCCAAGGGTATGGCAGGCCAGGGACTATGTCTCGTGCCCAGGGAACGACTTTCAAAACTGAGGCGCTTTCCGTGCCATCCCCCAAGGGGAGGCAGGCTACAGACTATGTCTCATGCCCAGGAAATGACCCTCGATCCCCTCGGAACTCGGAAGGTTAACCCGAGGGGGGAGCTAATGGTGTATGTTGTTGCCTCCCGATAGGCCAAGCCTTACCAACAAACCAAGTTTCTTGAAGCATTCCCTTCATTACCCAAAAAAAAGAGGGGTGAAGGGGAGTAGACTCAGCGTGAAATCAATGAGTACACAACTCCAACAGTTCACATCAGAACGCCCTTCGGCATTATAAGAAATTTCAACATATCGAAGGCTTCCCTAGTGGAACACTTCCGGTAACTGAAGGTTTTTATTCATTGAACACCTTTGACGATGCCCGGTCCCCGAAGGTTACTACTCAACAAATATCATCAAGAAATGGCTAATTCCACTTTTTGGCTGCCTCCGGCGTCACTGACACCGAGGGATCTACTCCCTTGAAAGGGATAAAATTGGCTAAGTCCACTCATCAACGATTCAAGACAAATGTTATCAAGTATTGGCCAAGTCCAAGCAGCTATCGCCCCCAGCATTTCACCCAAACACTGAGGGGACTCTCCCAAACTTTCCCCGAGAGTATTCATCTTATCATGCCATGGTGGGGAGTGTAAAAATCCTAAAGTACACACTTTGGGATCTAATAAAAGCCGAAGGCTCCTCACACATTACCGGAGGCTAGTCTTACGAGCCAAAGGAAATTGTTCTGAAAGTTGGGTGCCTTCGTGACCACCACC